CAACAAGTGATGATGAGGATGTGGAGAAAAGGGAAACCTAGTCCACTGCTGGTGGGAATGCAGACTGGAGCAGCTACTATGGAAAACAGTATGGAGTTTTCTCAAAAAATGGAACTTCTGTTTGACCCAGCAATTTCACTTCTGGGAATATATCCTAAGAAACCCCAAAACTCCAATCAGAAAGAATATATGCACCCCTATGTTCATAGCAGCGTTATTTACAATAGCTAAGATTTGTAACAGCTCAAGTGCTCATCAGTAGATGAATGGATAAAAAAGCTGTGGGACATTTACACAATGGAATACTATGCAGCTGTAAAAAAGAGGGATCTCTTACCCTTTGGGACATCATGGATGGACCTGGAAAAATTATGCTAAGTGAAATAAGCCAGACTGAGGAAGACAAATATCACATAGTCTCACTTACTTGTGGAATCTAATGAACAAAATGAATTGCCCAACAAAGTAAGACCTGAAGCATGGAGGCATGGAACAGACTGACATACCTCAACGTGGGGTTGAGGGACGAGAAGAGGTAAACCAAAGAACTTATATACTTATATGCATAGCCTATGGACATGGCAATAGGGTAGTGAAGACGGGGTGGAAGGTTGGGGGAGAGTAGGACTAAGCGGAGGGGGGAAAGGGTGTGGAATGGGAGATATCTATAATACTACTAAGAACAAAAATAAATAATAAAATTAAATTAACATCCCTAGGTTATCTGCACCAATAGAAATGCTTTCCTTCTGATGTAATTGTTCCCTTTTCCTTTGTCATAAATACCCATTGCCTTTGTCTCCTAATTGAACAATATTTGGACTTCTGCCTGAATGAATGATTCCCGGATACCTATCCTTTTTTTTTTTAAAATATATTTTATTGAATTTTTACAGAGAGGAAGGGAGAGGGATAGAGAGTTAGAAACATCGATGAGAGAGAAACATCGATCAGCTGCCTCCTGCACACCCTCCACTGGGGATGTGCCCGCAACCAAGGTACATGTCCTTGACTGGAATCGAACCTGGGACCCTTGAGTCCGCAGGCCGACACTCTATCCACAGAGCCAAACTTGCTAGGGCCCAGATACCTATTCTTATTGATCTCAAATAAACACTTGTTTTCCTCTCACTTTGAAAGGTCTTTTTAACTTTTAAGTTAACACCAACTAAAATGTCTTTAGTGCTCATTTCTGGCACTGTCGGTTTCCAGTTGTACAAGCAATGTCAAACTTGTCTCCTCTCAGCTCGGCTTTCTTCTGTGTGCTTCATTTCCAAAGTGGCTCTGCCCACATGGTTGCAAAGATAACCGCCCGGAGTAGGCTTTCTACCAGTTTAACAACCAGTTGAAAATGATCTTTTCTCTACTTCCAGAAAAATCCCTAGACCAGTGGTTCTCAACCTTGGCTGCACATTAGAATCACCTGGGAATCTTTTTAAAATCCTGATTTCTGGGCCTCCTCCTCCGGAAATTCTGTTTGTTACTAATGTTGTGGCCCCACCCCATAACAAACAGAATTTCCGGAGGGTGAGGCCCAGAAACCAGGATTTTAAAAAGATTCCCAGGTGATTCTAATGTGCAGCCAAGGTTGAGAATCACTGGCCTAGTAGTGGTTCTTTACTAGCCCTAGGCTAGACCATCTATCATTGGTCTGGCTCAGAACATGTGACCAACCCTAAACCAATTCCTAAGTCTAATTGGCCAGACCTGGGTCTAGTTATCACTCCTAAAGTGGGGTGGGTCTGCCTCACCTGCACCTGTGGTTTGAGTAGCAAAGAGTTCACCACTACACCAATGGATTAAACATTGTTGTCAGTTTTAATTATGTCATTGACAACAATGAAGAAAAATTAAAAGTTAGCAAAGTGTCTTTAATCCTACCAACCATAATTTCTAAGAAAAAAAGTGTGAGAGAGGCTATTGCAGTAATTCAAAGGAGAAATTAATGAGAGACAAGATGTAGGAGTCACTCCATACTGTAATGAATGAGCACATTTGTAGCTGAGCACTTTAAAGAACAACGGTAGGTCTGACCAACCCATCCATTTGAAACGCTGCAGGTTATTGATTGGATAGGCCGGAATGAAATAGCAAAAAGAGCTGGTAAAGGGTATAGGATATAGGCGGGGCAGTTTTTGCTGACAATCTTACCTCATGGCGTCAGCTTCCACTACATTCTTGCGACTCCACGGTCGGTGGAGCCTAAGCTTCAGGTGGGCCGTGTCCCGCAGGCACCTTAAACTCAGGCAAGTCCAAAGCTGACTTTGGCGCTCCCCCTTCACGCCCAACCTTGGGCCTCCTCCACCCATTTCGTTGTCCAAGCCAGAAACTTGGGAGTCACCCCAGACGACTTCCTCACCCTCACCCTCACCCCCAATCTAGTCACTGCATTGCATTCACCTCCCCCCAAATCTCAATCCACTCCTGCCCTCCCCGCTGCCGCGGCTCTAGTTCAGGCCTCAGCTCTCACCTGCCATGTACCGACAGCCTCGGAACTTCGTCCTCAGCTCCAGTTCCGCCCCTACAGTCCCTCCTCCTCGCAGGAGCCACCGGGACCTTCCTAACACGCAAATCTGAAAACGACACCCCTGTTTTCAAGTCCTCCTCCGGCTCCTCTTTTCTGGAGGAAGAAACCCAAGCCCCTCAGCAGGGAAGCCAGGTTGCGGGAGCGGGGGAGAGGGAATCCGCCCAGGGCACGAGGGGCACTGGGACGAGGGAAACACCTGGGTAGAGTTTGCAGGCTGAGGGGGCGGGCCCTTCCTAACACGCAAATCTGAAAACGACACCCCTGTTTTCAAGTCCTCCTCCGGCTCCTCTTTTCTGGAGGAAGAAACCCAAGCCCCTCAGCAGGGAAGCCAGGTTGCGGGAGCGGGGGAGAGGGAATCCGCCCAGGGCACGAGGGGCACTGGGACGAGGGAAACACCTGGGTAGAGTTTGCAGGCTGAGGGGGCGGGCCCCGCTGGTGGAACGGGCCGGGATTGGCGTCGGAGCGC